GCCTGGCCCTAGCTCAGGCCTTTAAGTGGCTGCTTCCACAAAGCTGTCAGCCTCAGGATGCTGGAGTTTGAACCTCACAACTCTCCCGCTGGCCAAAAGTGCCCTGAAGGCATTCGAGGAACAAAAAAAAAAGTAAAGCTACATTAATATGCTGAGCTGCAAAAGGTTCAAGTCAACAACTTCTGACATTGCCAGTCCTATGGATAATCCACTACTATTATGGACTACTGAACTATATTGGAGTATTTTGCTGACTTTACGCACCTACAATATTTCAATGACAATGGAATACCCATCTCTGACAAACCTAAACAAAAAAAGGGGATGCAAATGAAGGACCATTTTGTATTTGTATATACAAAATAGTTAGGATAGATATACAGCTACTTTCCCTTAATTCAATGAGAAGAAAGATCTGTACTAATAGTGTTTATGGACAGGATATCATGTCTGCATCTTGTACTATGAATAACCACTATGAAGACAACAATATGCAATGTATTAATTATTGAAACTGTCCTACTAATTAGCTTTGAAACTGTCTCATTGCTATTTGTTTCTCAATAAAATTAATTTTAAAAATGCTAGGCCATGACAGTCACCTACCAAGGCAAGTAGGACCCAAGGATGCAGGCAGCACCACGAGGAACCAAGTCCCCACAAGAAACTTGGGACTTGCTCTAGAGTCAGTGAGAGACAGATGCTCTAGACGCTGAACCTGACGCTGTGTTGCACTTTGGGGATTAGAATTCCCTTCCATCCTCTCAGCATATGTCCTCCCACAGGGCTCAAGGCTGTTAAAGCCTGTCCTGGACAATCTCCCACCAGGCTGAATTGTATGGGCTTGTCATCATTAGTGAGAAATAATTCCTGAGGCCCCTGGATACTTGACTCTGCTCAGAGCCAGGCCTTCAGCCTTCCCCAGCAGCCTTCACCATTTCCATCTCTCCCAATAAGGCTCTGTTGTGGCCTCCACTGGATCATCCCACTTTCCCAGGATCAGTGTGCTCCACACGGCACCCTCTACCCATACCCCGGCCACCATGGTTTGTGCAGGAAGAACAAACACCCACTGTCATGTCTGCTAGTGCACTTCAGCACTGGGCTGAAGCCAAGAATTAAAAACTAAGACCAATAAATAAGACATAAAACTTGGGGAGTGAAGACATCATGGATACCCCAGCTAATAACAGAGAAGGAGGCCTGGGGAGATGGCTCAGTGGAATAAGCGCTTCCCTAGCAAGCACAAGCGTCTGAACTCCAGTCACGCCGCAAAAAAAAAAAAAAAAAAAAAAAAAAAAAAAAAAAAAAAAACAGAGAAGGAAGATAACATGGTAACAATACTAAAGATGGAGAAAGTAGAAATCCTACAGGTGTGGAATGCCAGACTCACTTACAATGAGGATCCCCATTAAAAGTGTGGCTACTGGATGGCAACTTTACTGCACAGAAGATAGGATCAGAATCTTGTCAGCCTGAGTTCACAGTTTCCACTGGGCAGGGAAGAAAAGTCTGGGCAGAAAGATGGTGCAAACAAGACCAGAGAGAACTGAGAGCTCCCGGGTGGACTCATCCTGGAGAGGGATGTGAGTCACTGCGTGGACACCAGCTGCCCACAGAGGACAGCAGCCCTTCAAAGTAGCTCTGGGGACTCAGGGCTGGAGTGTGCTGTCTCCAGCTCCCGATGCACCTGGCCCCCAGTCCTTCCAGCTGCCCTCTGGCTCCCCCAGGTGCTCCTGGCTGACCCCTCTGCCCCCTGACAGTCCACAGTCATAAAAGCCTAGTTCCTTGGTCAAGTTGCTCCATCCAGTTGGCTCCCACTGCCAAAGCAACAAACAGACGTCACACCAGCTTTGGGCTACA